GGAAGGAAGGAAGGAAGGAAGGAAGGAAGGAAGGAAGGAAGGAAGGAAGGAAGGAAGGAAGGAAGGAGAACACCATTTGGTATCCATTAGAGTAAAAAACTGTTTTTTGGCAAAACCCATCTACGGATGCTCTTTAAAAAAAGTCTGAATAGCAATGGGATATTTTCACAATCTTAAAGTATTTTCCTATATTAACTTAAAATGATAAAAGAATATTTTTACCATGGAAAAACCTGACGCATACCAATTTAATCAAGTGATGAAAGTTAATATTAACCTCATAAGAAAAATCAACAACATGTAGCTCCTCAACGGATGTAGTAAGAGATATAATGTCTTTTTTATTTATTTTTTTAACAAAAATAGCGTTTGAATATAAGGAAATACAAGACAAATACAAACTGAGGGAGATTCTATCAGATAACTAGCTTTTCCTCTTCAAAAATGTTTAGACCAAGTAACAAGAAAAGATTAAGAAAGCTAAAGAAATGTAACAATTAAATGTTACGTGATCCAGCACTCAGGGTCCTAGACCAGAAACAGAAAACAGACATAAGGAATAGTCCTGAGACTAGGGGAAACTAGCCTGTATCTTTTAAAATGTTCAAGTCATAAAAGACACAGATAACTTGAGGAACTGTTCCAGATTAAAGGAAATGTATATATGAGACATAACGACTGAATGTAATACATACTCCAGGATTTTCTTTCATTGTAAAAGTATTGATTGGGACAATCAATTGGCAAAATCTGAAAAGGATCTTTTATTTCCTTCCTTCCTTCCTTCCCTTCCTTCCTTCCTTTCCTTCATTCTTTTTCTCCCTCCCTCCCTCCTTCTCTCACTCTCTCTTTCTTTTCTTTCTCTTTCTTTCTTCCTTTCTTCTTTCTTTCTTTCTCTCTCTTCTTTCTTTCTTTTGTTGTGAGTCATGGGCCTGAATTCTAGGCCTGGGCGTTGTCCCTCAGCTCTTCAGCTCAAGGCTAGTGTTCTACCACTTGAGCCACAGCACCACTTCCAGCTTCTTTCTGCTTATGTGGTACTGAGGAACCCAGAGCCTTATGCTTGCAAGGCAAGCACTGGACCGCTGAGCCACCTTCCCAGCCCCAATAATTTACTTTTCTGATTCTGACATTTTATTAGATTCATCAGTTCTTGTTTTCAGAGGTCCATTAAAGTGTTTATGAATAAAAAGGCACCATGTTTAAAACTGACTCTAGCTCAATTATTGCTATATACATATGACCATATAGGAGAATGCTAAGCAAAATGAACTCTAAGACATGGACATAAGAGGTTTTTCTTTGTTGTTGTTTTTAATGTAATACATGATTTTTTTTTCTTTTGTGTTTTTCCCTCCTATGGTTTATCCCCTGTTGTCACTGTATTTGATTTTGGTACCCTGGGTATTGTATATATGTTTATCTGAATTAGGGAAGAGAAGGGGAACAAAAAAATGGTAAGAGACAAAGGACAAAGGAACCAATGCAAGAGCAATACTCACAAGACACTATGTTGGAAATGATTTGTATAACTTGGGGGAAAATGGGGGGAAGGAAAGAGGGAGAAAAATAAGGGAGGGTAACAAGTTCAACAAGAAATGTACTCACTACCTTACTTACGTAACTGTAACTCCTCTGCACATCACCTTGACAATAAAATTAAACTGATTCTCAAGCCATTAAAAAAATGTGTGGGCGGGTAAGAAAGGATAAGGCAAATATAGTAAAGTATCAACATTTGGGGAAATTTGATAAAAGGGCCCCCAGAGTTTTTTACACTATTCTTTAAAATATTCCTGTAAAATTGAACTTGTATCAAAATAACAAGTTAAAAGATGCCAGGTGTAGAAGCTCATAACTATAATCATAGCTACTCAGGAGATGGAGATTAGAAGAACTGAAGTTTGAGGCGAGCCTGGGCAAAAAATTTGCACAATCTCCATCTCAACCAATATAAAAGCTAAGCATGGTGGTACTCAAATATCATCCCATAGGATCACAGTTCAGAATAGCCAAGGCAAAAGGCAAGACCCTATTTGAAAAATAAGACTAGAGACATGGCTAAAATGGCAGAGCACCTCCTGAGAAGGCTAAGGACCTGAGTCCAAACCCCAGGTCCACCAATAAAAGTTAAAAGGAAAATGAAATTAGAAACATCTGATATTTTCTTGAATCTTCAGTCTCTCCTTCCTTCCCCACTTTACCTTACCCTTTTCTTCTGCCTCATTTCTTGCTTCATTTCTATGGAGAACACTCTGCTGATTTGAAGCATCATTTGGTTCATTTTAAGAGTTCATAGTTACCAATTCCCATTGCTTAGGGACAAATGGAGAAAAGACAATAAAAAGAGAGACTCAACAGTACACTAATTTGGCCAGATGTACAGTCTTATAAGATGAAAAACAGCTGATGAAAATCTGATCTTTACAGAAAAAAATAACTTCAAAGGGGGGAAAAAACGTATGCTTTCCACATACTGGGAAATGTGCATTCTTTTTTATATTCAAAATGTTAACCTAAAAAAGCTCAGTAAACATATGGGCCATAGGCAATCCAAATGTTCTTACAGTAATCATCATGCCTGAACAAGAAGTATTTCCTTTACCTTCTGGGGCTTCAAGGGTCTTTTTATTCTGCTCACACCACCCAATGGGGTAGAGACCAGCCTTCCTGATGTCACACCAGAAGTCTGCTCTCCGGTCTTCCCCATAGCCATCATAACGAAGGAGAAGCAACTGTTCACAGGCGGTGATGATGGTGGCAACCCAGTAGGTTTCAGGATCTCTTTTCACAGCCACCTCCAGTTTCATCCCAGGAGCAAATCCATTTTGTAAACGTGTGTCCACCTGAAGAGATAAATTATATTAGGCCTGAGACACTTGTCTTAGATGAGTATTTCTCTACCCAATGTTCTTTTTTAGGACTTAGGAATTCTAAAGTAATAAAATCTTCTCAAGGGAAACCTGAGAAATTCCAGTTCTAACTCATAGGTGTGATCCACACAAAACATTTTTTTCTTTTTTTTTTTAATGTTTATTGTAAACGTGAAGTACAGTTACAGAAGTCAGGTAATGAGTACATTTCTTTATTAATTTATGTTACTGTTATATACAGAGGGATTACAATTACATTCCCTCATCCTCTCCCAGTCTCTCCTTCCTCTCTCCACCCACAAGTTGTATAGTTTATTTTCATCAATGTCTAGTGAAATTCACTGCTGCAGTTTTTCACCTGCTGCAGTTTTGCCCCTCCAGTCCTATATCCTTCCCCACGCCCTTCCAAAGATACACACTTGAATACACCATACATACACAAGGTACAGAAGACAAAATCATCGAAAACTAAAAAATTGAGAGATCTATTGTTCCCATATCTTGGAGTTTATTTCAATATGTATATTATTTTATATAAACATGAATAGTCACTTAGGCATTACACTTCTGTGTTTCTCTCCTAAGAGTATCCTTTTTTGATCTCACTGTGAAATATCTAGAATCCTGTATAATTTATTATATCCCAGTGCATTTTAGATCTAATTTTTGCATACCAGAGAAAACAGGTACTATTTGTCTCTCTGATCTTGGCTTACGTCACTTAACATGATTTGTTCTAATTCCATCCATTTCCCTGCAAATGACATTATTTTATTTTTTAATGGCTGTGTAAAATTCCATTGTCCATAGGTACTACATTTTTTTATCCGCTCATCTATTGTGGAACATCTAGGTTGTTTCCATATCTTGGTTATTGTGAATTGTGTGGCAATGAACATGGATGTGCAGGTGTCTTTATTGTATCCTGGCTCATCATGTTCAGGGTAGATGCCCAGGAATGGTACAGCTGGGTCATAGAGAAGGTCTATGTTTAGTTTTTTTTTTTTG